AACTCGAGTTGCAACCAGAGTCACGGAACGGATTAAGTTCGTAACTAGAGGTACCAGTGTAATTGATTACCTACTGTACTGTGGAGGAGACTGAGCCTTTATTCATGTTCTAGAGCATTTAAAAATGCTCCCGCTTATTTGAATTAACAGATACTCAGCCAGTCTCTTGTTGGCCTTTGGAAACAGCTAAGTGGATATAATAGTTTTATTCAGATATGGCCATGAGGGTGTGGGGAATGACAAGACATGTTTTGTGTCATCATGACACAAAACACTTGACCTCTGTCCAACATAGCAACGCAAGTATAAAAAGATGGGCTTTGCATTGTAATGTCATGATGCATCTTTTGTCACTTTTTTCATCATTTGGTTTGGTTTGTACCAAGCACCTGTTTCCTGTCTTGCCAGTTTTGGCCCCTACAGCAGGGAAAATTAAATGAGAAACTAAAAATCAACTCACCAATCAGGCTATTGGAAAAATATGGAATACTTGAAACAGTACCAAAATTCTGTTTTGTTTTAGTCCTGAAACAATTTCTTAGAACATGGTGTGTGTTTTGGAAATGAAACAGTTTTTTGCAAGCATGAAACAATTCACAGTTTTCTCATATAATTATCCTTTGTATCTATTTTGTGAGAAAATCATTTGTTTCATCAAGAGAAAAATTCACTTACAAGTATCTACATGAGGAAAATGCAGGAATCCTGGCAGATTAAAATTATCACAATTTTTTTCACACTTTGAAAGGATTTGTTTAACAATGCCATTTAATATTTACCAGGCAAACTGCTATGAATACAACTTTTTGCTTGCAGACATAATAAATATTGCAGCTGTTTCTTTAAAAGTGCTAGATATATTTGTACATGATCTCGGTGTTAGTCATAATGTTAAATTCAGACTGAATTGTTTTTCTTTTTTTTAAATTCTAAATTTATTTATTTGTTTGTTTGTTTAATCTGTATGCCACCCATCTCCCCCAGAGATGGGGGACTAGAATCTAGAATTATTGGTGACTAGAATCTCTTCAAATTTTTATTGCTATTTGTACATGATCTCGGTGTTAGTCATAATGTTAAATTCAGACTGAATTGTTTTTCTTTTTTTTAAATTCTAAATTTATTTATTTGTTTGTTTTTTTTTTTAATCTGTATCCCACCCATCTCCCCAAGAGATGGGGGACTAGAATCTAGAATTATTGG